TTTTTTTTTTTAAATGGTTAGTGTAGGTGTTAAAGGCCAGGAATCTTTTTCATGACCATTCTGATTGTCTTCACAGAAAATTCCAGTACTAGGCAAAAAGAGACAAAACCTACCCACACTGTTTCCTCTTCACATCAGCATGTTATATGCAATTATTGCAGATAATTTATAGCTCATTAAGATGAAAAGGCCTTTGAATACTTTATTGAATGACAGTGGGACATAGAAACTATATATTCCAGTTTCAAACTACAGAGAACTCATATACATGAATTTTGAAAATCATACCAGAGGACAGACGCAGCCCATCAAAACCAAAATTATTATCTTTTTATTAAGTAGTTTATAATGCTTCAAAAAGCATAAAACAACATAATGCACCTCTGAAGCGAACTCCCAAACTGCTATGTCAGAAGGAAGCAACCCAAGGGAACTTATTTTACAGCAAGCAACCAGGGTAAAAACCTGGGAGAGTCAATCAAATGCTTTGAATCAGTAGATTCCAGCAAACGAGAACATCTGGAGCTGCAAATCTTGCTGCCATTTTTGGAATGGACAAGACCGTGATTTACTTGGGAACAGATAAACAACCTGTCAGTGTCACAGGAACAGACTGAAAAGCAGGTTCCTATTCCAGGGTAACTTTTCTTAATAAAACCGTCTTTCACTCAACAACTCAGTTAACATTCAGAGCACAGAGCTCTAGAAATAGGTGAGCAGAAAAACACTGATGTACCTTTCTTGGTGAACAGGCTGACTAACCTGTCACAAAGTACCTCACCACGCCAGGTCTTCTGCTTATGTGAGACTGAACACTGATAATTTATTAAAACAGTCACTACTTAATTTGAAATCATAGTTAGGAGTTCCACATAATGGAGAATATTGAATATTGTTTTAGTCACTCTATGACTGCATTTTCTGTTCAGTCAGCACAGCTTTCAAGAGAGTAGCTTCTCACTGATAACCAGGGAAGTTCCTGCTTCACAGTTGGGAACAATTATTCAAAAACTGTTTGGGGAAGAAAGGTTTCAGCAATGTCAAAACAGTAAAAATTAGCCTAATTTCAGAAAGATGCAGTGTTTTAAGAAAAGGCACCTGAATTTAAAATTCAGGGATAGCCAAATGAATCTCATTTCGCTCAATTCAAATTGACGTAGCATTTCAACAGTAACTCCATGTCTTTTTATAAAGATAAGCCCCTCAACATCAAATTGAAATATTTTATTCAGCTCAACATTTCTTTCTGATTTTTGGCTTCCACATACAACTGCTTTCCACCTTTTGAAAGCTGCCAGAGCCGAGGGATTGGACACAAAGGCCACCAAGCACATGCCTGCGCAGCAACAAACA